AAAATGAGCTTAAAGATATATTTGCAAATGTTTGTATGTTTCATGCCAGTCAGAAACCAGCTGGCTAAGTACTTTGGCAGTTGTTTATCTTCCTGCTCTCTTGAACAAGGGCCCCCCTGATTTATAGCAGTAACAGGAGACAAGTTTCTCAAAGTTGTAAAAGGGAATTACAGGCTGGGAGCAAATGTTACACTGACCCTACATATTATAGAATACAATCAAGCTGCAAAAACACTAATTAAGAGTTGGTAAATAGTAAGATTTATTGTTTAACAGAAAATAATACCATGTGCCTCCCATCAGACTCTAGCAATATTTTCCTAAGGTTTAAGGTATATTGAGAGAGTTAAAGGGCAATAAATTTTGGTAAGAGCTAATGGAAAAAGCAGCTGGCTGGAAAAGGGGGGGTGTAAACTGAAGAGGCTTCTTTTGAAGCTGTTTTTACTGAGTCCCTTTTTACTTTGCAAAGGCCTTTTCTTCTAAAAAAGCTATCTATGTTATGTATGAGATTTGTTGCCTTAATGTAACAATGCAAAGGATTTAGAAAGTAAGAACTGTTAGATTCTTATGTTAGATTCTTATTTCATTGATGGTGTGTGAGATGTGAACCCAAGATCTCTGTTTAGATAGAATTTAATACCATGAGCCATTTGTTTTAGCCATTTGTTTTGGAATGCAGGGGCAGCAGGGGCAAAAGGTGATCTGGTAATCATTTATTTGTCTGACAAATAAATTATTATTTTAATTTCTCTATTGCTGCGTTGAATATTTCATTCCAGCTAAGCGTTAACCACGAGCAGGGTGCTACAGTACCTCGGGTTATGAACAACCTAGTTAATACAGTTTTTGGATTATGAACACTTCAAACCTGGAAATGCGTGTTCCGGTTTGCATACATTTTTTGGATTGTGAACGTACTCCGTTTGGGGGTGCACTTTCGCTTTGTCAGTATGGCCTTCCCTTGCTCAGCATGGTGGAGGGCTTTGTGCCTAGTGCCCCACCCCCACAAATTCGGGGGTGGTATAGGGCACAGCAGGCAAGGGCAGTCCCCCCCCACCGTCCTGGGGGGTAGGGAGGCTAATTACTCCCATCATAGCCTCCAAATTACCTCGTGTGGGTTGGAGAGATGTTATTGTCAGCCATCTTCCGATGCGCCCCCTAGTGGCCCCCCGGTTTGCATATATTTTTTGGATTGTGAACGTACTCCGTTTGGGGGTGCACTTTCGCTTTGTCAGTATGGCCTTCCCTTGCTCAGCATGGTGGCGGCGGTGGCAGAGGGACCCAGAGCCGGGGAGCAGCAGTGGCGTCCCTTGCCTACTCGGCATGGCCTTCTCACAATCTCCCTTGTTTTGCTCTGCTGACGGCTTCGTCCCTTTAACTGCCATGCCTTCTTTTCCTCCCTCCCTCCCTCTGACGCCACTGGATATTTCTGCCTTAGGATGAGGGGACAGGAACTTGGCGAGACCCGAGTGGTTTGCTCTTTTCTTTCCAGTCTCTGGGTTGGAGAGGTTATGTGGCTCTGTCCTGTTTCTGGCTCCATCGAAGCCTCTGGACGATCACAAGTAGGGGCCCTGAAACAAAAGCCAGGAGCCTTTAAGTTCTTCGTTTATTTGCTAGTTAAGTTTGTATGCTGTCACTGCAGCATCAAGGTCCCCCTTCTCCACTTCAGGGTGACGCTGCTGCGGCTGGAAGTGACGTCCCTTTCCTGCTCAGCACAGCCTTCTGTCACTTATAAATTATTTCTCAATATTCTTTTACCCTTTTACAAGTCCACCACATGTGATAAAACGTACCCTCAGCCTCATTGCATCTCCAGCACTTATTTGATTCAGACTTATACATTTTGGCAAGTCCACTCAGAGTTAAATACCATCTGTAGATCATTTTCATATAGTTCTCCTTCAAAGAATTAAATGCTGTGAACTTCAAATCACTCTTTCAAAGTTTTTCACAGAGATTCAGATCTATATTATGTCATATATCTATTGCCGACCCTCGACTCAGGTCCTGGACCTCGCCCCACTGTAACCTCCCCCCGGGATCAGCACATATGTGCTACTTTTTCCTTTTCGTTTTATTGTTTAGTCCATTTACATTCCATAAAAGAATTCTAAGATCCATTTTCAGTTATATCTTATTTACCCTTCTACTCCCCCCTTTACTGTCTGCCCTCTTCTTCCCTCACCACTTCCTCTTCCACTTCTTCCTGCCTAGATCCCAAAACTTCACCAAAGTCTTTTTTGTACCTTCTTACAAAGCCATGTGCCCTCACTGGTTCCACAAATCTCTGTTTTTTGCCTTTATAGGTGAAGTAGACCCCCCCATCCCTCTCTAAAGCGGATAGTTTTTTTTCTTTTTAAGGGCCTCTGTCAAAAATTTATAGACTTTTCTCTTCTTCAGAAGACAGACAGGAACCTCTTTTTAAAATTATAATTCTTTCTTTATCTATTTCAAGACCTTTCTCATAATGTTTCTTAATCAAACAAGAAAAGTTTTACTTCCAGAAAGAAGTTTGTGAAACAAAATTAGGTCTGGAGATGCATTCTTTTAGGTACAATTTGGAATATTGGCATAAATTATGGGGCACTCCTGAAATGGCATATGATAAAGGGCTGCAACTAATCAGCTGCTGAATGGACTTGGCTTGAGCCATGAAGGTATTTTAATGATTTTTCAACTAGCGCGAAGAGACTTACAATAGCCAGAATGAAAGGGGAGGAAAGGCAATATTTGTTCTGAAAGGTCTCCTAAAGCTCCTAAAAGGTCTTTTCCTCTTTCGACCTTCACCGCAAAATGAAAGAATCATGTACAGACGTTTAGATGTTATCTGTTATAGAGGAAGAGAGAGAAGCCAATGATTTATAGTCAAAGGGCTTTACAATGTTTTTTATACCCTCGCTTGTTGACTGCAGTTGAACGGATTTTATATTAATTTTCTTTGAGCTGTATGAAGAAAGAAGTGGAGAAGAGAATTAATTTGCCAAGGACTCTTAATTACACTTGCCAGGAGTTTATAAATGTGATTCTGATCTTTAACTGCGAGCTGCGGAAAATAACCATCTTATCAGAAGTTATTTATAACTCAGCACGTCCTTGGACAACGGAAGGGGTGTTTCCATAGAAATGGCATGGACTGAGAAAGATGGCAATTAATCTATCTCCACTCTAGGTCTGCAAACAGACTGCTGAAAAGGCTCAACATGCAAAATGGCTATTCAATGTGTTTGGAAAATAACTGCTGTTGTTTGGAAAATAACTGCTGCTGTTTATAAGAAAACAAGGCGGCTAGCTACGAAAATGGATTAAGACTAACAGACGAATAAGGGGGTGATTAAAGAAGAAGAATGAATGTGGCAGCATCAGAAAGCAATCAACATATGTTTGTGAAAGGAGCGGGAAACCTTTTTTATTTTTAAAAAAGTGTATTAATTTTTTAAAAATAATATTTTATTAAGTTTCCATTTCATTATATATAAATACATCTATATTACGCACATTAAGTTTTCTCATATGAGCTGGTCAACTTCCCTCCCTCCCGCCTTGTGGTTACCATAATTCCTATCTATTTCACTGCATTTGTACCTCTTCCTCCTTACATTTTATCCATTTCAATTTTTACATTTTAAATAAATATAAAAAGGTATCAATCATAAACATTGCAAGTCTTCTTATTTGAAGGACAATTGCAAAGAATTAATAACATTAGCAGGCAAAGTGTATTAAATTTAAATAATTTGGACTGATTTGTTAAAATTCAGGAAACTAATTAAAAAAATAATATAAAAAAGAAAGATGTGATTTGACCACTTCTGAAAATTTCCAACCTGAACTCATAGGTTTATCATTTCTACTACCTCGTTGCTAAAACCGGTTGTTTGGGAAGTGCAGATGATGGAGATGTTTGTGGCAAAACAATTACACTCTTAGGTCATCTATGATTCTATGACTTAATAGTGTTTCCTTCTTTTTATATATATAATATTTTTATTGTTTTTTCAGATTTAACATATTTTTACATTTCATACATCATCCTTACAGTTCCTTAGAACTTGTCAATTTCCCTCCCTCCCCCCATGGGTTCTTAATTTAAAACGAACATCAATTCCATCTTTCTAAATTGGTCAACTATTTTTCCTTCCTTCTTAATGCACATAAACTGATTTTCCAACATAACTAGCTTTTTTTCATTCCTATCAGTGCTTTTAAGTGCTTACAGTGGTCCTTTAAATCCCACAAAATTTTCCAGTCTTTTTTGAATATTTGATCTTCTTGGTTTCAGATCTTTCCTGTTAACTTTGCCATCTCTGCGTAGTGCATCAGTTTCATCTGCCAATCTTTCTTCGATGGTATTGTTTATTGTTTCCAGTTCTGGGCTAATAAAGTTCTTGCTGTTGTTGCATACATAAATGTTTATCTTCTCTAGGTATCTCCTCACTAATTATACCTAACAGAAAGGCTTCTGGCTTTTTAACAAATGTATTTTTACATATTTTCTTTAATTCATTATATGACATTTCCCAGAAAGTCTTTACCTTACTACACATCCACCATATATGGTAAAACATACCTTTGCTTTCTTTACACTTCCAGTGCACTTTTGAGCAGGTTTTATACATCTTTGCAATTTTAACTGGTGTTAGATACCAACGATACATCATTAAAAAAAATAAAATTCAATGAGCAGCATGCAGTAAATTTTATATCCTCTTTTCACAATTTTTCCCAGGCTTTCATTTGGATATATTATACCCAAAATCTTTTGTTCATTGGATCATTACAGATTTTACTTCTTCATCCATTGTATGCCATTCCAACAATAGCTTGAACATTTTTTATAATATTTTCACATTATTATCTAGCAACTCTACCTCAGACTTTGATCTTGTGTCAAAACCTTATCTTTTATCTATCTTAAACATATCACTTATCTGGTAGTATTCTAACCAATCTGCCATCAATTCTTTCACCTCCTCATTTTTTTTCCATTTTAACTGGTTTTCTGTCTCCATTAACAAATCCCTATAGGTGGCCCATATCCCTTTCATATTTAATTTTTTAACAGAAACCGCTTCTAAGGGTGAGAGCCAACAAGGGGTTTTCCTTTCAACTAATTTTTTGTATCTATCCCATACCTCATAGATCGACTTTCTTATAATGTGGTTCTGGAATCCTTTATTTACTTTAACTTTGTAATACCATAATTAAGCATGCCACCCAAATCTATTATCATGACCTTCCAGATCCAATAAGTCTGTAATTTTCCAACATTATCCAATACCGTAACAAGCAGATGCAGAACAACTCATAATATAATTTTGTTTCCAATTGTCCTGACACAAACCAGGGTAGAGTCCACCTTAACAACATATTTTATGTGAAGTTAAGAATCTTCAAAGAAGCTAAAAATCAGACACTACTGTCACTTTTTGTAGATAGATGTGCCTTTGTGTTCAGATCAGGCCTGAGTATGATAATGTAGCACTTGGGAAGGAAGATGCAGCCCAGAAGCCCAGCACTGGAGGCCAACATAGAGAAGACCTGCACAGCAACCATGAACTTCCCTTTTGTGCTCAGGTAGGTGGGCACAAAGGACACCCAAACACTGCAGAAGACCAGCATGCTGAAGACGATCAGCTTGGCTTCATTGAAGGACCCGGGAAGCTTTCTGGCTAGGAAAGCCACCGTGAAGCAGATTGCAGCCAGGAAGCCCATGTAGCCAAGGGCAGTGTAGAACATGGCAACAGATCCCTCATTGCATAGAAGGATGATCTCTCTAGCTTGGGACTGCATGTCGGAGTCTGGGAATGGTGGAAACATTCTTAGCCAGATGGTGCAGATGACAACCTGCATACTGGAAAAGGAAAGGACAATGGAGTTGGCCAAACTCTTCCCTAGCCATTTCCTCACCCTGTTCCCTGGCTTTGTGGCCAAGAAGGCCAGCACCACAGTGATGGTTTTTGCCAAAACAGAAGAGACGGCAACCGAGAAGATGATGCTGAAGGCTGTTTGTCGGAGAAGGCAGGTCACTTTCCTTGGCCGGCCAATGAAGAGGAAGGAGGACAAAAAGGAAAGCAGGAGGGAGCTGAGGAGGATATAGGATAAGTCTCGATTGTTAGCTTTGACTATGGGAGTTTCCATGTATTTAATGAAGATTCCTAGGACAACACCAGTGGTTAAGCACAAGAAGAGAGCAAAGGACACCAGGAGGATCCCCAAGGGTTCTTCATAAGTGAGAAATGTTATAATCTTGGGGACACATTTGTCTCTTGCTTGATTTGCATGCTGTTCTTCTGGGCATTTGGTGCAATGCTTTGCATCTGAAGAGAAGAAGAAGGACTTCAGAATTACTAACAAAATTCTTACATCCATACCTGTCTGTTTTCTAATACATTGGGAAACAATAATAAGAGATTAATAAATGATAGGATTTTGATTATTTGGAGTATTGAAGAATGTAAGCCAGTGGAAAAATACAGCCTAAGCTTCCTTCCAAGCCAGGACCTTATCTGGGATAGAGGTACTAACATGATAAAAGCTGTTGAAGGCCATCTGCGAGGAATTCTTGGGCCTGGGAAGACAGAGGTCGCCATGGTGATGTGGTGTGCATTTGAGGTGTCAGGAAATGAGAGTCTTTACCAAGGTGTGCTGGGAAGAATAAGGCAGAGAAGAAGAAGGGACCCATTTTGGCTAGACTGGCTGAAAAAGGGTTGGGAGAGATTTCTTGCACTCAAGTGCTGCACTGCTATGGGGAACAAGTCCCTCTTGAACATGCACTAAGATCTGGACTTCCTCCATGCAGACTGAAGGTGTAACTATGTGAATAAATCATATTTCTTAAAGCTATGGCAGTCTCCCCTGAGTATTCATTTCCCAAAAGGAGCACAAACCCTGGGCGAGCCCCGGGAACCCCCTAGAATCTTGCTACCGCTTGGCAGAGAGTAGGGTGACGCCCAACTTCTGTAGGCTTAAATGTTTGTCCCCTTCCACTGATGGCTGTTGTGCTAAGGTCCTGCTCATGGGCTTTTCATGGGCATCTGGTTCAACATTGTGAAAGGGTGTTAGACTAAATAGGCCTTTGGCCTGATTAAGCAACCCTCTCCCTTTCCTCTAGAGTCACCCGCCTTCCTGAACGGAGATGGTCCCTTCTGCACAAGGAGCACAATCATAGCAGCAAACGGGCTCTCCTTCTTTAGCTACTCTGGCGTATCCAGGGCGACAGATTTCAGTGCATCTTGAACGAGGCATGACCTAGAAACAAGGAGAAGGGGCATCAAAGGAGATCAACATAAATTACAGACATCATACAGAGACCACATAACACTGGCCTTGAAAGACCTACATTGGCTCCCAGTACGTTTCCAAGCACAATTCAAAGTGTTGGTGTTGACCTTTAAAGCCCTAAACGGCCTCGGTCCAGTATACCTGAAGGAGCGTCTCCACCCCCATCGTTCTACCCGGACACTGAGGTCCAGCACCGAGGGCCTTCTGGCGGTTCCCTCCCTGCGAGAAGCCAAGTTACAGGGAACCAGGCAGAGGGCCTTCTCGGTAGTGGCGCCTTCCCTGTGGAACGCCCTCCCACCAGATGAGAACAACTACTACCACACTTTCAGAAGACATCTGAAGGCAGCCCTGTTTAGGGAAGCTTTTAATGTTTGATGTATTATAGTATTTAAATTTTTTTTGGAAGCCGCCCAGAGTGGCTGGGGAAGCCCAGCCAGATGGGAGGGGTGGTATTATTATTATTATTATTATTATTATTATTATTATTATTATTATCATCATCATCATCATCATCATCATCTGGAGGCCCTGACTGAAAAAAATGCTCAAATAAATATCATTTTTAGAATACTGAGGTCAGGTGAGGAAGCTTAAAATGGGAATGAGACCCTTCCAAATTTTGTTTGGACTGTGGACACATGATTTTGTTTCTGATGTAAAGTTTCATATTTAAAAACCATAATGGGATTTATACATTGTTTAAGGTAAAAGGTTAACTAATTAAACTCTCTATTGCCTTTTAAAACGTGTTTGGGGTTTATTGCGCCTGTTTGTTACTATGATATGTATTTTTGTGTTTTTATAAGCACAGATTTTATAAGGCATTATTGGGCAGCTGTTAAAGCCCACATGGCAGCTACGGCCGTCAACTTTGGGCCCATTGATGAATTTTCATCTCCCCCTCTGAGTGGATGAAGAAGGAAAAGTGTAAAGACAACCTTTCCTCTCTTTGCCCCTCTCCAACTGAATTGCTATGCAAAACAGAGAGGGCAAGGAAAACAGCAGTGATGCAGACATCTGGGAAGTGGCGGACACCCTGGGAAGGGCCATCTTAGGGTTAATCTGAAATGGGCAGCTGTTGGCAAATTATCTGAATTTAGCAATTCCCACAAGGGAACTGCAGCCAGTGTGATGCAGTGGTTAGAGGGTGCAGTGGTGCAGTGGTTACCCAGGAGACCAAGGTTCAATTTCCCACTCAGCCATGAAGCTTCCTGAGTGACCTTGGAGCGTTCACTTCCTCTCAACCTGTCCTATTTCACAGGGTTGTTGTGGGTATAAAAAGAAGAGGCACCAAACCATATATACTGTTTTGAGTGCCATAAAGGTGGGATATGTCAGGTATAATGGCATTTCTGAAGTACAGAAGCCATAGAAGCTTATAGAATCTAACAGAAGTGTTCCAGAATCTTCTAGTGTGTCAGGAAGGTTTCCAAGGTTCCAAGGTTTCCATGGAAACAGACGTGCAGCTGGAATGAGCTCGTTGTGCTTCCAGGTCAAACTCCCCCAGCCTGCCTATAAATGAGATGGGGCCGAATGTTATTCTTACTTCCACTCTCTCTGATGTTCCTTCACTCTCTCATTCTGAATTGATTTTCTCAAAGTATGTTGTTCATTTTAAGTTTTTTACTGTTGTATTTTACTGCAACTGGATTATTAAGAGAGTGCCCTTCCAGGGATCTGGTACTGAACTGTCAAGCTTATTTCTGCCTCAGTAAACTTTTACTAATTAATCCACTGCGTCCTGAGTCCTCCCTGTGTCTTCTTGAAGTTGCTACTCACTTACAACTGCGAAGGCATTCCCCCAGAGTCTTGGGGGGCATGACTCCTGACACAATATTAATGCAATCAATCAATCAATCAATCAATCAATCAATCAATGCAATGACCTTGCTGAAGTTCCCTGGCCACACAATGGCTTCTGAATTAATGGTGAACTTTACATCGAAGGATGCCTGTTCCTCGATGCTCCCAACTTTCTTTCTGCTGTGAGATCTATTGGGAAATACGACCCAGTTCATGATATCAAAGTTGGCAGTCAGCTCCCCATTCTTATCAAAATACATCCCTCCTATGGATGAATTGGAAAGCTGGATTTCTTTTAAGAAAGGGTGAAGCTAGAATGGCAGAGAAACACCAGCATTTAGAAAACATGATACGAGGGTTGCCTGTGGAAACTACAGGCTTGGGTGCAAACTCCATTGCAGATGACAGTACACTATATAATTGCATAACAATTGCAAGATGTTTCCTTTGATTTATCAAATCCATTCATGAAGTTGGATATTTTGTGGGATGTAATCTTGTTTTCCTTTGATAATTGAGAAAGGTTCCAGACCGCTTACCACTTTTGAGCGATCGATCCTAAATCAGGGAGATAGAGGCAGAGACCTTGTATCTGCTTCATTTGGTGACTTTCGGGTCATTATAACAGGTCCTTTATCAGGTTTTAAATCCTCTTGGGGATAAGAGTCAAATAAACATATATTAAGGACATGGCCAGGAAAGCACTTTGGAACTCTAGAAAAGTTACATGCTTTTAAATTTGCTATAATCTATTGTGATTTCAACTTTGTATATGTTTCAGAAATAGGGTTCAAATTAGGGTTTTAAATTTCTTTATTAGAATTTTATTGTTTTAACATTTTTTGTAACCTGTTTTGAGGTTTTTTGAGCAGTCAAGCGATATATGCATCTTACGAAATAAATATATTAAATACCAATGCGACAGAACACTCCTTAGCAATTTATCATGCCCTATTTTGTGAATGAATATTTCCCAATGCTTTTGTTTATCAATTAGCTTCAAACTATTGTAGAGCCACAAAAAAGATGAACAAAAAATAAATAAATTATCAGGATGCTCAGTTAAAGACAGGGCACACAATCACAATGTGATAAACTACAAAAGATATAGACTCCGTAACGGATTCCAATGACAGGAAACAGATGGCAAAAAGGGGTAAGGACAGACCTGCCATGGCTTCAACCTTTGACGTTCCAATCTGTCTCCTCCACCCGCCATTAACCTCCATTTGGATCTGGATGAATATGCAGCATTTAGGGCCTGAGCCACAAGTTGGATACCGTAGTAAATGTTGTAGCGATCTTGAGACCAGATTCCCTCAACCGCTTCCTGGGGCAAGGTTTCCAGTGGTTCCTTTTCTGTGCATCTTGTCCAACCCTCCACGGATAGCACATTGTTTGAACATGAACAATTGAATGCTCTCGACCAAAACTGTGCAGCTGCAGTTGCAGCTTCAGATGAAAAGTGAGGATAGTAGCCATGTTCTGTCCTTTTTTTGGTATTCATTACCAAGGACAAAGAACCTTGGGCAGGCTGGAAGGAAGCCACATCACCAAACAACATCACATCAATGTCAGTAACATCTGTTGTGATCCAAACTAACCCCTGAGATTTCCTCACTTCATGAATGCGTTGTATGAATGTGATTGTATAAATTCCATTTTCAGAGTCTCCATAGTAAATGAACACCTTGACTTGCCTCAGGACAGATGGTCTACAATGTAAGGATGACATCTTCATAATGAAAAAAGGCATTTTTTCCAAGAAAGCAACACAGATTCCACTACGGATCATCAGAGGTGTGAAAGCACTCAGGAACCTTTCTCCATTGTCATTGTCTGGAACAAAGAGACCGACCCATGTCCACCCGAAGTGGAGCAGCAACTTGACAATCCCCATGTACTGGGTTTCTTGTTTTGGGGCCATCCAGAAGATAAAAGGGAACTGTTTCTTCCCCTTAAGATCATAAGCAGTAGAGCCCAGACTGATCTAGAAAGAAAAGGATTTGTGGCTTGTTTTCAGGAATAAAAAAGAAAGGCCCTGTCACATGATCAGGCCAATGATCATAGAATCATAGAATCGTAGAATCATAGAGTTGGAAGAGACCACAAGGGCCATCGAGTCCAACCCCCTGCCAAGCAGGAAACACCATCAGAGCACTCCTGACATATGGTTGTCAAGCCTCTGCTTAAAGACCTCCAAAGAGGTCATGTGACATCTAATCCAGCATCCTGTTTTCACAGTGACTAACCAGTTGCTTCTGGGAAGCATTTCATGCCTCCGGTGGAAAACCTGGAGCTCACAGAGAAGGAAGTGGCTCCAATGAATATTGAGGCAGAATAGGGCATCTGGGGCTTTCAGGGGTCATGGCATTCCAACCTCTTCTAAGAATCACAATGGGCCACTTCAAAGAATGAGAGGCAGAAGCAGAAGCTAGGCAGTGACACAGTCTGCAGGAGTGCAGGCCCCTTAACCTTAAATTAGCTTCTAGACAGCCACAGGTCTGCCTGAGAAAGAAGAACTCCTGGGGAGCGAGGGACTATGTTGAAATATGATACTAATTCTTCCTACGCCAGACTGGTGAGAGTGAGAGAAAGAGACCCAGGGCTTTCCAAATCAGTTCCCACTTTCTTAAAATGTGATATTCTTTCCATGGTCTCTCTTTTTGGGTACTTCTGTTTTATGTTCCCTGGAGAGTAGGGATGTGGAAAATTTGGCCCTTAGGTTGTTGTTGAACTACAACTCCCATCAGCCCCCACAAGCATGGCTGATGGCCAGCAATGGATGGCTTGGAGGTTCAGAAACCTCTGAAGGGGTGAAGGGGTTTCTCAACACTGGTGGAGATATAGAAATGAGGAAGGAAACAAAGTCCTACCTGGGGCATTTTGTAGATGCTCAACATTCTTGAAATATGGCTGGAGATTTCAGTAGCTGTTTCTTCAAAAGCAGCTAACACATTATTCTGTCCTCCACAGCTGTAGCTTGGAATGCTGTCTAGCAGGGCATCAGCCGCTGTTGTGACATCAAAAGCGGCCTCATAGATGCTGTAGCCCAGGGTGACATTGGGTAAAAGCTTAGGATCCTGGTTGATCTCCTGAATGGCAAATAAGGGGGACAGAGTGGGATAGGGGTCCGTTGATGTTGAACTGCAAATAAATGAATAAACAAATAATTGTTTCAGAAATCCACTTTCCATTTAATGAAGACAACATGTCATACTCTTTGTTCTATAAGAACCTAAGAAGAATCTACTAGTCTTATATCTAATGGGCCATGCGCTCCAACAAGGAAATAAATAATTTTTAGGAGAGCTTGCAGCTTGGGTGAATTTGATTGGAATGATAACTTACAGTTTCTGGAGCTCAGAGACTTGACAGGAACTATGTACAGGATGAGAAGGAACGAAAGAAAGAAATAGCAGACATATTGTCTGGAGAGGACATAAAACAAAATCTCTGAGGTTTGATAGGCAGAGTTATCACTGACATAGTGGCTTTAAACAAGTGCTGGCTAGGTTGATAGACAAGCAGTGCCCTTGTGTGGTTTCACGTATTCAATGCATGAACTAGAAGCTCAGAAGAAGGAAATATGATTGCTCTTTTCCAACAGTAGCAACATTAAATCACAGCTGAGAACAAGGTGAAGATTCAGGAGTTCATGAGGAAAAGCATCTGTTCCAACAATTTACCCTGCCCACTTACCTAGCTATTAGAGAGACGCAGAGAAAGCTTAGTTCCTTGCGAGTCTGGAACTGAGGTTTCTAGTTAACACCCCAAAATCAAATTTAGTCTGATTCACTTCAACCTGCACTAAAGTTTGCCAAATGTTTTGCAGAGAAAACACAGCATTTTGCAGCACCCCACAAAGGGAGCAAATGTCACTTAATATGGGGGTCACAGGGTCACACAAAAACTCAATGTTGCCTGATTCATTCCAAACCCAAGCCAACAATTTGATTCAACAGGACCTGAACAAACTGCAGAAGTTTGCCAACAGAAGCAGGAGAAGAGATGATCGGCTGTTCTCTGCCTTTTTAAATTAAACTGAAGCCCCCAAAAGGTTCAGAATTAGCCTCCCTGTTTGCAGGGTACCAAGAGGCCAGTGGGCACTGAGATTCTTTCAAAATCAAGAGATGGGCAAAGGAGGGAGAAGGGTTTATTAGGGGTGGCCAGAAATTAAGTGCTAATAGCAGCGTTTGTGAATGTAGGGTGGGTAACATACAGTCACTTACCTCATAACATGGTTTACGGGGCGCTGGGAAAAGTCAGGTTGGTAAATTATAACACCACCTTGATATATGACCCCACTAATGAGGTGGTCTCCTGGCCTGTAATAATTCAGTGGATCATGATCCTTTTTCATATTTAATGGACATTTTGCTTTCAGTATCCCACTGACTCCATGGGGTATTAGCAGCAGGAATAGCAGCAGTAGTAATATCATTCTGGCCATGCCTGCAAGAGTCATAAACTCTTGTGATAGCAGTGACATTAGGAGTGCAGCCGGACTCGTACAGTAGCTTTAAGCAAAGGTACAAAAAGGAAACCTGCCACAGAAAGGATCCCTGCCTGCCCCAAATCTCTCAGGCCAAGCTTCAGATATTTATGACCCAGTTGTTCTTGCAGGCTTGTGACAATAAGTTACCTCATCCTGCCTGTGATTATGGTGTTTATTTTATTTTTGGACTCAAAGGCCATTATTGAGGAAATCCCTGGACTAGAATAATTATAAGGTTCAGAAGGTCCATCTCCCTGGCATCTGTGTGTGACTCAATGGGCACGGGAAGAATGAGGGCAAAGCATGTTTGTGAGAACTCAGAGATGGGGCTATCAGTCTGGGCCCTGCTTAATTTGAGGGGTCATGAACTTTAGTAAAATCCCAGAAACTAAAGAACAGCTATGATTGTTAAAGTAAGGCAGGACATGATGAAAGTTTATGAACTCCAGTATGGTGTGGATTATATAAATAGTGTTATGTACTGAGTTGAATAGGATCCAAACTGCAGCAGTCTGATTGGTCCTAGAACAATAGGATCCAAAAGGCAGCAGTCTGATTGGTCCTAGAACAATAGGATTCAGAATGCAGCAGTCTGATTGGTCCTAGAACAATGCAGCAGTATGATTGGTTGGCAGGAACCAGTGGTGTAGCGTGGGTTGTCAGCACCCGGGGCAAGGCAAGTAATTTGCGCCCCCTAACCCGTGGATTTGTGCCCCCTAACCCTAACCCCCAGATGTTGCGCCCGGTGCGGCCGCCCCCCCCTGCACCCCCCACGCTATGCCACTGGCAGGAACCACCCAATCATGCTCCAGATAGAAGTGAATCCACAACCTGATTGGCTTACAGTAGAATTCCGGAATTAGCCAATCATGTGCCGCCCATTGTGTAAAGAATGTATATAAAGCAGATACTTTGAGGGGACTTTCATTCATTCCTCCTCACCACTATGAGCTGAATAAAGAGCATGAAATCACTTTGCGACTCTAAGTATATTTCACTGGCGACGAAGGTGGGATCCCGCTGAGCTGACTGCCACACACAGCACCGCAGCACCGCCACCTGCCACACCGCTGCCTCGCACCGTGTATCCAGGCTTCAGCTCCAGGACACAAGGAACTCAGAATGGCAACCGACAGCAGCTTCTCGCCGTTCAACCCAGCATCTGGAGACTGGGAAGCGTACGCCTCCCGTTTCACCTTCCTCCTAGAAGCCAAGGGTGTCACCGACGAAGAAGACGCCAAGAAGATGGCGATATTCTTCAGCGTCTGTGGAGAGGAGACGTTTGAAATCGCCCGGGCTCTCCTTGCGCCTGAAGACGTTGCTACTGTTCCATACAAAACAATAATGGAACAGCTGAAGGGGCACTTTTCGCCGCAGCCCTCAGTGGTGGCTCGTCGAAATGCCTTCTACGCAAAGCGGCAAGCCCCTGGGGAAACCATAACTGGGTTTGTGACCTCTCTCCGCCAAGCCGCCCGGTTCTGCAACTTCTCAGAGCTGGAGAACATGCTTCGTGACAGCCTCGTCGGTGGCCTGAAGGATGAGAAGCTGCAACGACGCCTCTACGCTAAGAAGGACCTAACGTTCCAGGTCGCTCTGGAGGAGGCCCTGGCAACGGAAGCTGCCGAGACGTCGATGCAAGAGGCACGGCCGAGCCTGCCGTCCCAACCGAGGGTCCACCACGAAGACCTCACCGACGACTCAGGATCTGACAGGGAGGAGGTGCACCGAGTACAGCAGCGCACTCAAACAGCCCACATACCACAGCTGCCTCAACGAGAAGGAGGGAACTGTGCAAGCTGCGGGGAGAGTCACGAGAGGAGGACCTGCTGTTTCCACAACGCAGAGTGCAGGCAGTGCAGAAAATCGGGACACATCGCCTGGGTGTGTCGGGCTCGAGCCACCCGATGCCAGGCATCAGATGACCAATCCAAGAGCCCCAGGTCCCAGAGCCCAATGCACCAAGGCAACTCGATGGAGTTCACGGACTTCCAGGTATACCAGTTGCCCCACCCCAACGTAGAGAAAATTTATGTAGAGGTACAGATAGAGGGGGCCCCATGCCGCATGGAGCTTGACACGGGTTCAACTCTATCTCTATCCATAATCTGGGCAAGGACCTTAAGGAAACTGTGTCCTACTGGGGGTCCCAAACTCAGGCCGGCCCCATTCACCCTCCAGGACTTCCAGAAATGTAAGGTCCCACAAAGGGGGTGGGGACCTTCAGGGTGCAATACCGACAATACTGACGGCGGACACGGCAACTGGACTTGCTTGTGGTCAAGGGCCCCTACATTAGCTTACTGGGATTGGCATGGTTTGGACCACTGGGGCTAGCCGTCACCGGGGTGAACCACACAAGCTTACAAGTGGACGTGGACGCCATATGCAAGGAATTTTCGGGGGTTTTCGATGGGAAAATGGGACAGAATACGGGCCCCCCATTGCTCTACAGCTTGACCCCGCAGTACGACCGGTCAGGCTCAAGGCCCGCCGGGTCCCGTTCGCCCTGAAACCCTGTATAGACGAGGAATTGGACCGGCTCGTGGAGTAAGGAGTGCTGGAGCCGGTGCCTAATGCCCCCTGGGAAACCCCAATCGTCACACCCGTCAAGCCTAATGGTTCGATCCGCATCTGCGCAGACTACAAATGCACCATAAACAAGGCCCTCACGGCCCACACATACCCAGTGCCAGTGGTCAGCCATGTCCTTGCCACCCTGGCTGGGTCGAATTTTTTTTGCAAGCTGGACTTGGCCCAAGCATATCAACAGCTGCCAGTAGATGAGGCCACAGCAAATAGCAACAAGTTTTTCTCCCTCCCAACAACAATACTAGAAGTTCTGATGGAGAACTTAAATCGTTGTGTCCTAGGCCCTTATCCAAGACCCTGAGCCCTACACCACCTTGTTTCTGGGGGGTTGGGAAAAGTCGTATGGAACATCCACTGCAGCTTGTGGACTGATGACCCCACTAATGAGGTGGTCTCCTGGTCGGTAATAATTTAGTGGATCATTTCCCTTTTTCAGATTCAAGGGGCATTTTGCTTTCAGCATCCCACTAGTCCTGTGGAACCTTAGCAGCAGACGTAGTAGCAGCAATATCACCCTGGCTACGCCTGCCAGAGTCTTACCGTATTGTGGCAGCAGTGACATTAGTAGCACAGCTGGACTCCTACAGTAGCTTCAGGAAAAAAGTAACAAAATGAAGACTCCTAAAAAATTAGTCCTCTGCCCCCAATGTCTGAGACCAGGTTCTCAGTAGTATTGGAGATATTTATGTCCCAGTTCATTCAGGCTTATTACAAGACTCATCCTGTCTTTGAGTCTGATGTCTATGACTCAAAGGCCACCTTTGGGGAAATCCCTCGACTAGAGAAAAAAATTCACCATGATTTTGATAATGAGAAGGTTGAGAAGGTCCACCTCCTCTGTAACCTCCTCGAGGGGCAGGGGCAGAGTTGTAGACAGAGAAAAACAGCTTTGAGAGAACTCACAGATGGGGCTGCCAATCTGGGCCCTGCTAGGTCTGATGAAACCAGCAAAGTGCAACCATCAGTAGAGAAGCCATGATGGATAAAGGCTATTAAGGCAGAAGATGATAGTGTTTTAGAAACTGAATTATATTATCCTTACAACAAACCTCTGAGGTAGGTTAGGCCGAGAGACTTGCCCAAGGTCACTCAATGAGCCTAAAAAGTGAGCAGGGATTTGAACCTTGGTCCCCCAGGTCCAAGGCATAAAATGAAGCTAGACGTTGCATAATTTAGGACAGTCACAAGGAAGTACCATACCTTCCAATATTTCGCTGGTGGAAATAGGGCCACCCTATTCCATTATAATTTTATTATTTATATTCCCCCCCCATCTGACTGGGTTGCCCTAGCCACTCTGGGTAGCTTCCAACATATATGAAACCATAATGAAACATGAAACATTTAAAAAAACTTCCCTATACAGGGCTGCCTTCAAGTGTCTTATAAAGGTTGTACCCACTTGGCTCAGGGGTCACATAACTCCATACCCTCTAACTTTTCTCTGATGAAAATAGTCATGCTATGGGATTTGCTCCCACATGAGGCAGGGGTGGCCACCAACTTGGAAAGCTTTTTTTAAAAAAAGGATTGCACAAATTCACGGAGCACAAGGCTACCAATGGCTACTAAGTATTTCGAATCTCCACTACTAGAGGCAGTGGCTCTCTCAATACCAGTTTGTGGGAACCCCAACTCTGAAGGACTGTTCTTGTGCGCAGGTCCTGCTTGCGTCCAGTGAAGAAGAAGAAGAAGAAGAAGAAGAGGAGGAGGAGGAGGAGGAGGAGGAGGAGGAGTTTGGATTTGATATCCCGCTTTATCACTACCCTAAGGAGTCTCAAAGCGGCTAACATTCTCCTTTCCCTTCCTCCCCCACAACAAACACTCTGTGAGGTGAGTGGGGCTGAGAGACTCCAAAGAAGTGTGACTGGCCCAAGGTCACCCAGCAGCTGCATGTGGAGGAGCGGAGACACGAACCCGGTTCCCCAGATTATGAGACTACCGCTCTTAACCACTACACCACACTGACTCCCTCAAGTGGGTCTCCTCAAGGGTCTTTCATGTGTTTTCCCCAGGCATAAACAGATATTTCCCTCTCTCGTGCCTAGACCATCTGATTCCACACACTAGGGGTATGTTCGGGGTTGAGGGGTTTCCTGTGATAACTGATACTAAGCACTCACTAAGCCTCCAGACCCTTCCTTGACCAA